AGAGGTTGAAGCTGGGCCTACCCCTGCTGCTGAGAGCCTTCGATGGGACCTGAACACAACGGTCTCTGAGTCATGGAACCATTGGCTTTACCGGCGTCCGTCCGAGTAGCTATCTAGGAGCCGTGGTTAACGGCCGTACTGAGCTAGCCAAACTTCGAAGTAGTGGCCGGTACGGCACCATGAGGGGCCCGAAAGTTTCGGTACCGGACAGTTTAGTAGCGGACGATACGGTGCGGACACTTCTGTGCGTGGACGTATTGGTATACGCGGTGATTTCGGAACCGGGCATTTCGGTACACACTTGTTTCAGGACTCGGTCATTCTGATGCATCTACCTTTTACCTCATATTCTGTGGTCAGCCAAAATTTCGTGTTCAGCTCCTCCGCAAGAAATCGGAGGAGAGTACTCAAAATATTGTTCCAGTTAACAGCAGTTGGATTTTCCTTCAGGTTTTATGTCGTTTTTGATGCAGTACACCAGGAATATTTTTGGCATCTCGGGTCGTCCACAGCAATGAAATATAAAGTAAGAATATACTTTAGCTGAGCGCGTTGGTGATAAAGTTAAACACGGGAAAGCATAGAACATGGAGGACGAACAAATCTGTTGTTTTGGTCACCCTTCATGCTTTATTCTTTTTTGTATTTATTGTGAAAAATGACGCACGAAATACGAGCATTCCAGGGAATGATCGAAGGCAGCTCACTCCGGGTTGCAGATGCTTATAGATGTTTAGATGTTTTATCTGATGATACCACGTGGTCGAGCGTTTCCTTTGTCTAGAATTAAAAACAGCAAAGTCGAGATGGGCCGGTTGCTGGAGCGAGTCTCTCAATGCTTCAATGATTCGAAATTGATGCATGAGCATGTTTCAAAAAAATATAAATGGAAGTTTTTTTTTTACGTTACGCACTTTTTTCCAATAGGAAGAACCCAGACGCGTTGTGGCGGTGAACTAAGTCCAGGGCTTTGATATCGTGCAAGTCAAGGTCAAGAGATAGCGATTAAGAAAAGTTGATAGGGCTAACTTTTTGAAAATTTCTAGCCACACCCAGCGGCGGAAATGAGCCTTTAACTAAGCATTGTAGGTGATAAATTTAGTCTTTGCTACAACTGCACGATATCATCATTAAGATTAATTAAGTTACGAAAAGTTACAAGCTAAAACAGTGATTCTCACGAAAAGATTTGCGCCCACCTTGCGAGCGTAGCCAATGTTTATCAAGGGTACAGCGGTACGTTCCGTGCGCGCTTTATTCACGAAATGTTCCGGGCACACTCGAAAGGATGACGTCGGGGAAATACTTTTCTGTTTACGAACGCAAGCCATCCTGCTGGAGGTTTCGGTCATTTGGAAAGCGATGGAGTTTGAAGACATTGCAGCCGCAGTTGCCTTGTCGGATCCCGTTCACGATACGGATGTCATCCGATAATATTCTGCTCTTTCGGTTGTTATTCATGCAACCTATTACTCAACAATGATGTCACGATGCCTAATGGATTGTTGTCATTAATTTCACTAGCTCTAATTACACCTGAAAGTAAAATAAAATAGAGGAAACCGCGAGAAAAAGAACTGAACTCGAAGGAACACAGGCGTCCAAGGCGTTCATCCGGGTCTTTCGCTCTTTCCTAACCACTCAGGAAAGAAGGAAAGCGCCGGCAGCTCTCTCACCTTTTCTTTTTTGCCCTTTTTCAGTACACCGGTCTATATATCAGTGAAGAATATGCGTAGGGCGATTTCAGATAGGATCGAGAAAGCAGTGGCTTGTTGACACTTATGATAGATTTTAAATTAAAAAGTGTATAGTATAAATAAAAAAAAATTCTTCCGGAAAAAAGATGAATGCCAAAAATCGTCGATTATTAAAAGGTAAAGACGCGTCTTTGAGCACTGTCGATGTTGTCACGTTTGACATTACACAACTTAGGTAATAATATTAAAAGAACTGGAACTTTTGTTAGACACAATATATGGGTGCAGGGAAGTCGTTAAAGTGATATGAACTGTTATGTGAAACGTAGTTTCTTAAACATTGCCTTGAGGGATAATCTGCGAACTTTGAAGGCCTCTTCTATAAGAGAATGTAATGATTTAAAAAAGTGCAAGGTTGTTAATTGAATACTGCTGGGGATGAAATTCCTGTAATGAAGCATGACGTGTCTCCTTGCACAGAAAAGAAACACTTTATTTTCACAAGTAAAGCACAGACAACTTCGACTTGTGAAAGAAACAAAAAAAGCGCTGAACACGTGAGGGCTCAAAGTAGCCGTCCGAACTTTTTATATAGACCATAAAAAAATTAACTTGTATGTTCATTGAGACACTTGTCCGTCTGGCGCTGCCGTGGTCTTTAGAGGTGCCCTGGGAACACGCACACCAGCCTTCAGCGGTGGCTTGGGACAGGGTAAGGACAAAGGTTAGGCCAGGAGGCAGCCTGAAAAAGCTGGGGCTCGTAACCCTAGCAGAGTTATCTTTCTTGCCTCCATTGATTTTGAACACTGCTATTTAATACTATACTCCAACTCATGAGTTGCGAGCAGCAGAAGGAAAAGCACATTCGCGAGCGCGTGACTTTCAGATTTACTTTTCTTTCACGACTGCTCGCGAAAGGAAAGCATGTATGAATGCTATGGAGCCGTGCCTAAGCCTTTTGCTTTGCTGCAAACAACTCCTGAGACAGAGTATAGTCAGAATATTTACATATTTACAGGCAATAGGTACGGAGAAGCCTCAAGCAACTTTTGTTGGTGCCCGCTCATACCCGCGTTCCCGTTCAACTGTCACTGTCACGACCCTCGAACATTCCTTTTCCTCTTTGCTCGCGCCGCACAGATGGGAAAATCCCAACAATTCGTAACAATCTCCTCTCAAAATGAGCACCTTAACGCTCATTGATTTCATAAATTCCTGGGGACACAGGAGCTGCACAGAACTTTTAAGTACTTGTCCACCCGGCAACACCAAAGAGCAGGATCTTGCTGTTCTGTCTCTGCCTGGGAACGTATCTTGAACCAGTCCAAACCACCACAAATGTCGCGGTCTATTGCTTTCTTTCTCTAGCTCCAAGTCTCCCACTCGTAGTTGGCTCAGCTGACGGCTAGGCGTCTCGTGAGCAGATCGCAACTGTAGCAGGTACTCGTGGCGTCACATTCTCCAGAAGTGATCAAGCTGCGTTTGATGATGTTTTTATAAGCGCGCGATTTCCTCTGCGGTACCGACCTGGGAACTCGAGTGAGGCGAAGTGAGGCGATTTTCTGTCAGAAAGTGTGCAGGAGTGAGCAAGTTCTGCTCACCTGGTGAAGAATGTAGAAACGTCAGCGGTCTTGAATTGATGATAGCTTCCACCTCAAGAAGAATAGTGGTCAGTTTTTCGGAGCTGTAACGGTCTCTTCCCAAAGCCTTCCGAAAGCTGGTTTCCACCGTTCGTACCATCCTTTACCAAAATCCTTCCCGCCATGCAGCTCGTTCAAAAAAAGAAAAATAACTTCCATTAGGCTCTGTGTTCAGCGTAGAGCCAATGAACACTTTAGTCAGGAATCGCGTTTTATAAGCTCTAGAAATCTATCTATGTCTTCTGGAATGTGAGGGCATTATCCGTGTGAAGGATTCTTAGCAGTTTCCGTCGTGCCATGAATCGCTGAAAGGCAACGATAAAGGCCGGAGCCAATAGACTCGAAACCAATTTCAAATGAACTGCTCCAGTCACTGCGCAAGTGAACATTGCGATGTAGCCCTTTTCATTGTTCCGATGGGACTTTACAAATTAAGGTCCGGCAAAATCTATTCCCACAATTTGAATTCGGTTGCCTTTACACACTCGCATTTTATGCAGCGGTGCTGTTGGAGCCGAGGCTCTCCTTGCTCTCAGTCGAGCGCAGCCGTTACTGAGGTGTATTACTTCCTTGACAAGCTGTCGTCTTCTCGGTATTCAGAACCGTTCTCGTAGTTGTGCCGCAGCGTCTTGGATTCCACCGTGGAAGGCCCGTAAATGACAGCTGTTTACAATCAACTCTGTGAACCGATGTTCTTGGCGAAGTAGTATTGCGTGCTTGATTTCGACGGTTTCATTTATATTTGAAGTCGTCGACCCACGCGTAGAAGTCCGGCCGAGTAAACGAAAGGGCTTAATGAAGATATACAGGAATCGTTTATGAAGCATTTGACCGTCGGCAACGTCTTTAATTTCTTGAGAATAATCCTCGATTTGAGTTCTGCGGATCCAGTAGAAATCAGTCTGTTTGAGGTCTGCCGTCAGAGGGCCTTGAGGTTGATTCGGACTGGTCCTTCGATTCTTGGTGAACCTGAGAATTCAGGCGGTGACTGGAAGGAGGTGGTTGAGCCCGATGTATCTTCCTCAATCCAAGAGGGGCAAATCTTGATCTGTAATAGTTTGTACGTCATGGAGTGCGCGCTTTTGTTCTTTTCGTGCGGTCATATCTGGATTAGTTGCAGCCAGAGGCGTAAATGGCCAAATGCTTTCTCCTGATAAAAGCCATTGCGGGCCATTACAACACAACGATTTTCGTTCGCAAGACCTCTGCTGCCATTCCCCGCGTTGGCAAATCTAACGGATTCTTCAGCCAAGGGAAATAGTTTCATGTTGAAGGTGAACTTCGCGATTGAATCACGGTCTCCTGTTCGGCACAAAGGACTTCTATTTGCTTGCAGTCCCCTTGATCAAGTGGAATACAGTGGTGCTGTCCTTCCACTAACACGTGTCCGGAAGGTTCAGTATGAATACAAGGCAACCAATTATTCGTCGTCCGACAACTGCCGCCATCAGTTCTAGTCGAGAAAGTATGAACCGTTTTATCGGCGCTTCACGCGATTTTGAGAATACCAGATCTAGATCTAATCCTCCAGTAGTGTCCTTGGCACTCAAACATGCACATGTTCCGTAAGCCTGTGGTCTTGCGTCACAGACGATGTGTAGCTGTAGTGTGCGATCCAACTCGCTTGGGATGTTCATGATACACCGATCAGTCACGATGTGTTCTACCCCTGGTAGCTCAGTACACCAGACTTGCCAGTCCAGGCTGAGGTAGTCTGGAAGATAATCATACCAATTAAGTTCCTTTTCACAGATGCGTTTGAACAAGATTTTCACTCTGATTACAAAAGGCACGACCATTCCCAGTGGCTGATGTTTTATTTGCAGCAGGGTAGACGTTTTGATACTCAGCAATGCCATTATTCCAGTGGCCTTGGAGTCCTACCCCAGTGGCCTTGGCGTCCTACTTTTCAAAATATTCAATGTTACTTCTAACTACGGTTATGGATTAGTTCTTGAATAATTGTGTTTCACCTTCAGTGCGTAGTGTACAAATCTGATGGCTGTGCCCCTCTCTCCTATCATGCCTCTTAAGGCGATGCAGGTGTACAAATAAATAAATAAATAAGAAATAATGGTGTATATCTCGCGACGAAGTCGCCTTCTCCAATGTGATTTTCAATTTCGGTGTTCATTTGGGGAAGCTCGTTATTGCTCGTCTTTCATTGTTCTAGAAGAGATGTTAAGGTGGCCAAATCTTCCGTTGCAAGAACAGCAGTGGTTTCGTTTATGGCGCGAGTATTTTACACTCTTCGGCCGGCTCGCTTCCTCTTTAGTCGTTCTATTACTTTGGTAAAGGATCCCGCAGTAGTAACGATGATCAGTGACGTTCGCCACTCCACTTAACCTGCTCTTACGGCAGTCCCGGGTTTCGGCAGCATATCGCAGCAGTAGCGGAGTTATTGTTCTCACATTCGTTGATATTGAACGGTACTATTTAATACTGGTCAGGACATTTACATATTTAGAGCCTATGGAAGTCTGCAAAGCAGCGCACTCGTAACAATTCACATGAAATATCACTGCGGGATTGTTTTACTGGAAACACTATGGTTTTTTCGTCCCCACCAGAGGTGGCAGACCGTTTTGCAGACTATTTTACTCAATGCTATACAGTTGGTCAGTCAACTATTCAGCCTATTGGCATAGAAGTAAACTGCCAGGATGTTTTATCAGGCTTCAGAGTCGATACGGATGAAATTGAGGAAAGCATCAGAAAACGTAAACCGAAGTTATCGACTGGAGTAGATTGTCTTCCGAGCTTTATAATCAAAGGTTGTGGTGCCCTGTTCGCACCGATTTTAAAACACATTTTCAACTTATCACTTCGCTCTGGGGTGTTCCCATCGTTATGGAAGAAAGCGGTTGTCGTGCCAATATTAAAGGGGGGCGATTCATCGGTTGTCAGTAATTATCGGCTTGTTTCTTGATTGCGCGGCTTTTCTAAGGTGTTTGAGAAAGGTAGTTATAAACGAATAACTCATTACTTTCATAAAAAATTAACGACTTCGCAGCACGGGTTTATTACGGGACGGTCAGTTGAAATTAACTTGTGCTCCTTTTTACATTTCGCTGCACCAGTTGTTACCAACAGGGAACGGGTAGGTGCCATATATTTTAACATGTCCAAAGCATTCGATAAAATTGATCATGAGCTATTGCTCCACAAATTATCGTTATACGGTTGTTGTTCTGAACTACTTCGCTGGTTTCAAAGCTACTTGTCATGTCGTACGAATCCTGTTCGAATTTCTAGTGTCCCTTTTAAACTATTTTACGCAACTTCAGGTGTCCCCCAGGGGTCTATTTTTGGGCCTCTTTTGTTTCTGATATTTGTTAATGACATAACCTCATGCGTAAAAAAAGCTGAGCTTCTACTCTTTGCTGATGATATTAAGATTTTTATGCGCGTTGCTACTCCTCTTGATTGTAATGCTCTTCAGCACGAAGTGAACATACTGCAATGGTCTTTGGCGAATAATTTACTCCTAGATCCTTCCAAAACTAAGGTTCTTTCTTTAGGCAGACGACGCACTGTTATGCAATTTACCTACTCTCTGGGAGGAACTTCAATCCAACGCGTGACTGTGATGAAAGATCTCGGTGTGTGCCTTGATAGCGCGTTGTCATTTAATGCTCATGTTTCCTTTATTGTTGGCCGTGCGATGAAAACTCTTGGTATCATATCTCGTATAACTGAAAAGTTCAGACGCCCTGCTTGTACGATTCGTTTATTTTGTGATCTAGTTCGTTCACGGCTTGAATTTGCCTCTGTTGTTTGGAGTTCTCTAACAAGTACACAGTCTTTAAGTATTGAACCAGTGCAAAAAAGAATGATACGCAATTTATACGATAGACACTTTCAGCGTCGCTTTTATTATGATTATGAATTTCTTCTTAAGAGCGTTTTACTTCAGTCTTTGTCAAATAGAAGATTTGAGCGTGATCTGATTTTTTTGCACAGGGTGGTAAATGGTTGGACTGATGCTAACCACCTTTTAAATTCTGTCGATTTTCATGTTCCTTGTCGCGTTAACAGAAATGTTACTGTCTTTTATACTAAATTCATGTCTAAACTCTCACCACTGTCCCGTATGCAAATTTCATTTAATACAATTGCATCGTCTAGCTTGGACATCTTCAGAGATCTCGTAGTTTTTCGCCGGAACTTGGGAAGTCTAGTTAAAAGTTGAAACTATTACATTTTGTGTTAGTGTGCGACATATTTGTTGTCTCGCTAATTTGTACATTTTAAGCTGTACGTGTGCTGTTTTTTTGTTTTGTTTTGTGTGCGCCAATGTGAAGACCCGCGTGGTTGTTTTTGGGCACATTAAATAAACAAATTATTATTATTATTATTATTATAATAGGGAAGCATCAAGCGACGTTTGCTAATGTCCGTTCACGTTCGCATTTGCGTTCAACTGTCACGATCCGCGAGCACTCCTTTTCCTCTTAGCTCGTGCCGCACAGATCGGAAAATCCCAACATTTCATGACAGGCGCTTTTCTTCCGCGCCCTGCTGACTCAGACGTGGTCCCGCGCATTCCGAACAACGTCGTCTCTCTTTTCTCGTCGACTTCACAACCGCACGTGCACAATAAAGCGCACGAAACACGTGCGCATTCCAAGCCGAAGCCGCGCCGGTGAGATATTTGAATCACGTCGATACATTTTTCAGTAGAGTATTTTTCAGAGGCATATTTAAGGTGATGAAAAATTAAGTATGTATATGGTACGATTCATCACAAATTAACAAGCAACAGGTAGTCTACACCGAAAAATCGAATTTTCTGACCCCAATTGAAATGTTTTCAGCAATATGTTGTATGATGTATTTTAGATTATTCACGTAGAACTGAACCCCTTTACTCTAGGTATGGTTCAGAAACATGTATATAAATATTGTTAATAAAAACGTCCCACACAAACGGACGCACGATCTTTTTTTAAATATTTTTCCTCTAGTTTGCACTCCGCCTTTAAACTATTTTATGCATTCGTACTACCTTTAATTTATTAGCTATTCTCTTTAGTCGTGACTTACCGCGTTAAAACAATAGTTAATTAAGAAACATTACTGTTTTGATAAAACTTGAAGTCGGATTCACTTTCAGTGCAGTGCAGCTGCCCCTGCAGACTTAACAAAAAGTAAAAAAAAAAAAAAAACACAAAAAAGGGGAGTGGCGAGTTTTCCTTCGTCAGATTATACGTGTCTTTAACGGAAATTGACAGCCATGTAGACCAGAAAAAGTAGAATAAGGGGTTAAAAATAGAAATTAAATCCAAAGTTTTATTCTTTTAAATTAAGGTCCGCAATTTTCGTTTTATTGGTGCTGATCATATGTTGGAGCTGCTAATACATAGGCAACCGTACCTACCAGCTTTTTTAATACATACTGTAACATTTATATCAATTTTATACATAATGTAATGACTTTAGACAATTTAATGTATGCGTTTCAAATATCTCATAAGATACAGGCCTGCGGATTTCAGAAACAAGCGCTGAATGTGCGGTGTTAGGGAATTTGTATAGAAATGCACAATGCCACATTGATTTACCATATTGACCACTTGTAGGTCATCTAATATGTCCACCTGCTCGGCGTGCTCCTCCATGAGCCAAATGCACTCGCACCAATCATATGGCAAACTTTCCTTGCCCTGTTGAAACCACTTTTTTTAAAGCGCATCACACCCATACCTTCACAGCTCATCAAAATCGCTTCTTTGCATGCTTTTTTTTTTATGGGAACGAACAGGTGATAACCACTGCGGCTCAGATCGGGCCGCAAACATGCCCGACAAAACGCTCTAAAATCGTACGTTTTGAAACATTCAATATTCAGTAATCGTGCATCGGCATACCTGTGATGACCATGCCAGCGTTTTATCTTTTTAAACCGCCGTAAAATGAACGCTTGTGCGTTCGATACTTCCTGATGCCTGATGACCATGAAGAGGGAAAAATACGGGCGGGAGAGCAATACTTCTTGGACCACCAAAGAGACGACCGGGCGGCTTTTGTGCTTAAGACACGATGGAAGAGAAACGCGAGTGAACCTTCGCCAAACTTGCCCCATGACGAGGCGGCGCCGTTCAGACACCCTATTTTCTTCTACTATGGCCTCGGGTCACTTCGTTTCAGGTCAGGGATAACACACACACGCACACGCACGCGCGCGCACATACACACACAGAGAGACAGATAAAACAGGGCACACGCAAAAGTTTTCGCCCGTTCCAGGCGGTGAAGTTACTTGCCTTCCAAGGCAAGTGTGAGCGCTGCAGTAACTAGAGCGTTTGTTAGAAGCAGTACCTTGATCAGCAGCTCGTGCTTCTTGTTCGGCGCTTGGGGACTTAGAGACCCCCGAAGCAGGTCCGCCTTCCGTATCCTGATGGCCTCTTCGAAGCTCTCCTCGAGCTGGTTGGCGTGCTGGCTGCACCGGATGTCCAAGAAGCCCGCTGCAGAGATTGAACACTCGAATGTGCGGGACAAGGGAGCAGCCGGTCAATGCATCCACCATCGTCGTGTCAGCACTCTTCACTCGGCGTTCCCCTCCCTACAATCTTGGCGTGAGATTGCGCGACTGTCTTCTCTACAAATTTCATTACAATGCCTGCTAGTCTCATTGAGCCTTGCAAACCAAGTTTTCGAGATAATCGTCGCTCATTAACCATTCCAGTCATTGTTTGGGATAGTTCCCCAAAACATCCTGTTTCTAGCAGCTCTATTTTTCCTCAATGCCATTCTTGCATGAAACAACCTCCCGAATAAAGTATTTTCATCACATTAATCTGTTCCTCTCAGTCAAGAGGTAACAAGTTACGTAGTGTAAATAATTATTTTATTGTATTTTACTTCATGGTAGAATTCTTGTTCATTTGTTTTTGTGTAACACTAATACGCTTCACAAAGTGTTTTACGATAGACAGATGCAGCGGTTGCGTTGTTGGAAGATGTGCTTTGGGAGATGCTCGTTTAGTCGATGTCTTATATCGGTATCAAGAAGGTTATACTGTATACAAGAAACGAAATAAAACAAAATATATAAGTAAATAAATAAAACATTTGTATCTCATTTTTATGTGCCCAGGGAGCACATTATCTGTCGTGCGTGAGTTATGTGTACGTTAGGATTTGTTATGTTTGATCACGGTAGCTTTCGGTGGTTTCAGATGCATTGTACACGCCATACACTCGTGTTATCCTGGAGTTTATTGTAATAATCAAGAAAACTTTAAACTTATTCAGGAGTGGAGTGTGTGAGGAGTGAGGAGCATGCTTCAACGAGTAGTTTCCATGGGTTCTTGCTTCTTATTCGGTGGGTGCGCGTAGCCGATTGATCTCTCAGTGCTCTTGCATGGATTGCCAGGAGCCCCTTGTGGTAAACGAAGTAACGGCCAAAGGAGAAAGTTAATCGATCCCGCTATGTTATTTTTCGCTACGCCAAGCCGTGACGTCATACGCCCGCTATCTATTGGTGCATTTTTACCAACGAGGTAGAGGGGCCTAGAGCAATAAACCGGGTTCCGGTCTGCACTCGAAAGTAACTCCCATAAGGCCGCTGCCATTGTACGCAAATGTGACCCCTCGTCACGTGACCAAACCAAATACGTGACGTCACAAAAAAGATGGCAGCGCCCAGGCAGCAGCTGGCCCCAGCTGGGCCGAAGCATTGCCCGGAGCTTGTCGGATGCTTTGTTCGTTGTCCTTCGTCTCGGCGATTTGATTTCAGACGCGGAAGCCGTCATACGAGGCCGGTCGAAAGCGACCTCAGAGTTCAGCGTGGTGTCTCACGAAGGTATAACGTGAAAATACGGAGTAACGGTGTGTATTTAGCTGGTGATCGACGGGGATATTGCCACGAAAGAGACAATCGGCCCTGCGATGCTCGGACCTCGGATTTTTCAGATATCGCTAGGATAAATTTCAAAGCGAGGTTTCTCTGCTCTCATTGACCATTGGAATCTTCGAGGTCTGCAATGAAGCGTGTGCAATGTATCTAAATACACAGTTTAGCTACGGAAACTGCGTGAGTCATGCTTGCAGTGTGCAATCGTTGTGCCGCGTCGTTCAAATAACCGAAGGCTCACTTTGGTTGCGCGGCGCATTGGAGAGCTGCTTTGAAGCTGGTAGTTCCCGTACCGTGCCAAACGGTGCTGTGCTGCTTCCCAAATTGTTCTGGCGGAGGCGTGCACTTTCACGGAGCACAGGTGTGCGGCGCACCGAAGAGCAAGCTGCATTTAAGCTGGTAGTTCCCGTGCCGTGCTAAATAATGCTGTGCTGCTTCCTAATTTGATCTGGCGTAAACTGCACTTTCACGGAGCACAGGTGTTGTAGTTGGTATCGATTCCGCTGGTCTGTCGCACGTTTCGTCGACACAAATTTTCATTAACACTCGTTACGCGAACTCCGAGCTATATGGACACTTTATCAAGCGTTTTACCTACCCAGCTCACCCGTTCACGCCGCTTTGCGGCGACAGTCGGCAGTGGTGCCACATCCATTTCAGTTCAGTTCATCTACGGCAGTCGCGGAACCCCGAAGGAGAGGATTTATTCGACAAAACGCCACTAAACCAATGCAGCGTCTCTAGTAGTCAGGACCGAATCTCCTGTCAGTTTTGTTATATTGTCACGGATGCTTGTTCCAGTCCCATCTTCTACTAATATTTACTATTCTGGAAAGTTCAAGGCCATGCTTGGCTGTCATCGTATGTTCTTGTGGAGGTGCTGGGTACCTTACCCATAGCCCTTCACTCTGTGTGCACCCTGGCGGCTCCTCAACTGAGTTGCCCGATAACGATCACGGGTGGCGGGGTATTCCGCACCTTAAACCCCCAGCGAGCCGTGAACCAAGTCCTATCCCGAGCCCGGCAGAAAAAAGGCAAGACGAGAGAGCACCACAGGAACGAACCTTGCAAATACACCAGGAAGAACCTGAAATCCGAGCCAGTCCCTGCTACCAGGAAGAACTTCCGGAATTCGGTCTCCTACCAGAAAAACCAAAGCTGACTAAGCCAACAATAACACACCTGTAGCAGCAAACTGCGTACGCTCCCATCATTGTTTGCATGCCCGTCGCACCCCACACTCGAAAGCCCTTTCACGCAAGGTGGATGGAGATGTTGAGGACTGGATTGAACAATATGACCATGTCGCCCGCCACAATGGTTGGACAGACAACCAGCTCCTGCAAGACTTATACTTTTTGTGGAAGAAACGGCCAGGCACTGGTCTGAGAACCATGAATCCTCCTTAACGTCGCGGGAAGTTTGCAAGATCGAGCTGTAGCGCACGTTCGTCAGCCAACATCGAAGAAAGAGAGCCGCATTCCCGATTTTGTTCAGGACACGGCCGCAACGAAAAAGTCACCGCCTTCGTGGAGGATGTCTTGCGCCTGATCGAGCGCCCACGCCGACCCTGATGCTACAGAAGACGAAAACCTTAGAATCCTATGTCCCTCATGTAAGGGACAACACCTTCAGCAGCCTTGTCTGCAACCCCCCGACAACAGTCGAAGAGCTCATATCCCCGAGGCTTCAAACATTGAACGTGCACTGCACGCCCGAGCTTGTCACACTCGACACTCGAGTCGTCCAGCTGCAACTTCGACATCACCCACAACGTTGTCCGGGAGGATATCAGGAAGCTACTTCCTGCCCCCAGTTGCCCGGCTTTTTTTTTTTTTTTTTTTTTGATTGCCGAGATTGTTTTGGAACAAGTTCAACAGTCATTCCAACTGGAGACTTCTGCGAGGGAAGCGGCAGTTGGCGAACCGAGGGGTACTTACGCCACAATGGCACAACGACCGCCACCGACTGGCCCTTAGTATTCAATGCCAGTTCAATGAGACACCCCAACGCCGAAGCATTCCCGATATCGGATGTAGGTCTGCACTGAACAAAGTACACCGAAGAAAACGGAGGTGTTGCAAATGGCCAACCGAAAACCACTCTGCTAACACTGCATGAGGCTGACCATGTCTACTGAAGCTGATCATAGCAATGAATTGGTCTGTGAGGGTTCGTGCGGAACGACCCTCGACCACGTCTCGAGGAGCGTCCGCGGGACATTGAGGATTTACTTCGGCGGGCTATGTCCCTAGTGGCGACATCACCTTGAAGCTCCTGATCGCCATCACCTCGACGGGAGGTAAGCACGACAAAGCAGGTGAGCGGCAATACAATGACAGTTGATTTGGTGTCGGTTGTCGCCCAAGGACTCCTAATAATTTGCTGCTACCAATTATCTGTGTACACTCCACGAAGCACACAATTTCCAACTTTGAGGGAGAACGCCGCTGAGTGACTTGAAGAAATAGAATGGTTCTCTAAATTGTACACCCAGAATCACTCGACTTCACTTTGCCACACCAGACTTACACAAGTTGCAGTGCTCCCAGAATGCAGAAGAAATTCCCGTTACGGAATGGAAGTGAAATGGCTTGGATAGCAAACAAACATTGTTGCCTGCCGTCAAGTCAACGGTACAGCAAAAGACACAGCTACGTAAGCAATACACGCCCGAGCTTCCTGCATTGACGCAGAAAACTACCAGAAAAATTTGCGGAATAGAAGCCAGCCTTGCAGCTTCAGACCATTAGATGTCAGTGGCCACACATGACGTAGGATTGCAAGAAGGCATCATTCAGTCAAAGTTGCCACTTGACCAAACTGAACACCGACATGCCAGGAGCGTCATCCGACCACAAGCAGCACAGGTACTACAACTGAACGCCTGCCGCGAGACTGTCGCAGAAAGAACTCGTTAAGGAACCATTTGCTCATAATCAATAATTTTGTAATCAAGTGGAAATAAACATATTTGATACAATAACCAAATAAACATATTTCCGCTTGCCTGTACGCCTTCAGAGTCTATACACCAAGAATTGTGTTCACTGCACGCACTGGACCTTAAGAGGACACTGGCATCTGTGACCCTTCAATATTAATTAATGGGACACACCAGACTGGCAGACTTGTTACATGGGGCGGCACCCGTTCCACCTATCCTGAACATGTGGTGCGTCCGAAAACCAACTCCAGTGATGTGAAAATGTTATTTAATAATTCATTCAATCCAAGGGCCTTCCTAGGCATTGCAGAGAGGATACTTAAATCTACATACATGATAATAACATCAAAGCACACTGTCATTAATGAGCACAAAGCGGGCCCAGCTACCGAAAATAAGTACAACACCCATAAGAAATAATTATTGCCGCAACTTGTTAATTGTAAGAACAAACAGACCTCTAATTATCTTGTTAATATTACGTGGACACTTCCTGTACGTATGACACAATAGACCCTTCGCAAAACCCCATCAAGGAACACAACTGTGATAATTTTTTTTCGCCATAAGGTACACGAATGGGCCCCAGTTCACGTCAATTGCAAATGCAGCATTCGAGTCCAATAGGTGCTACGCCGCGTTCACAGTGATGGCTGACATAACATTCTTGTGGCACAAATGCCTAAAGTATGAAGGCCTTGGGTAATTAGACTAGTGGCTACGGTAATTCGTTTCATCACTATTTGGCAAACGGCAAAGGCTACACGTTGGAGCATATGACAACATATCATCAGATTGCTTGTCTGCACAGATCTGTCACACAAATTCACTCCATCTATCTGATTTGCTCGAGGTGGCTGTGGCAGTTGCCCTTTTCCAATTGACGGTGAAACAAAATATAGACAGCCCACACCTTTGAAAAAAGTCTATTAAAGAGACTGAAAGGAATGGTAGTCAACATTTTCAAGAAGACTGGTCTTCGGGCAAGGGGTGAACACAAATATGAATCTTGTTCAGGTAATTAGAACAAGTAAATAATTGATCGACTAATACAATGCACTCTTGATGAAAAAAAGTATTGCTGCAATAATTCCAGCGAAAGAGAAACATGTACAGTTAATCTTCTCTTTCCAAGTTGCATTACATTTAATGAATTGCTGATATGTGTGGTTCTTTCTATTTCTGGACCTCTAAAGAGTGGGGCTGCAATATTGTTTTTAAGATCCTAGATGTTAGAATGATGGATTAGACAACTATCTGAGAGGAGTATGATCATACACATAAAGGTTACTGTGGGCTAATAGGGAGTTTTCGTAGATCGTTTGCGGTCGCGTAGATCGGTTGCGGAGAACGTTGCCGAGCTCCACAACGTTCTCCGCAACCCGCTACGATATCTGGAACTCTACAGTCAAGGCCAGGGGCGCGCAGGCGCAGTAGCGGCTTCTTCGTTACGGAGGAAGAAACGCGGTCTACGAAAACTCCCTATTGTTACCAATCGGCAAGGTAATGAGCCTACGAATACTAATTTCTAAGGGATATCGGATGCAACATTTTGTGCACTGATCAATCAAAAATCTGAAGACTTGCTGTGTTCTTAGTTCCAAGGGGACAAATAAACAGTTTTATGAACATAAGTAATGAACTCTTTTCCGAATGATTGGTTCGAATGCTTCGTAAGAGTTCGCGTGCACGTCAGTTAGGAAAACGACAGCTTTTCACTTCAAAAAGTATAGCGATCGAATGTAGAATCGTCGATTAGCCCAAAAGGTTAAGGAGAGTAGAAGCTTCCTCGCTAAAAGTTGCTATGGTTATTCGGTGACGCAGGGCTGAAAAACTTCCCCTATGGCCTGCAACGTATACCTTTCGCTCATTCCAACGTTCAAATGAAGCTAGATAATGCGAATCTTTTATGCTAGAAGTTAAATCGTAAAATTGTTGATAAGTACAAAACGTAATGATCGCAGGAGCTTCCTCGCTAAAAGTAGCTGTGATTATGCAGTCACCTAGGGTTGAAACAAATCCGCTAGGCCCTAGGTCCGACGCATACATTTCGCGTCGATTCTCAGACATTCCAACGTTCAAACAAAGCAAAGAGTGTGAAAATTTCATGCTACAAGCGCTCAAAGTTCTTTCGATCCTCGAACACATTCAGGAATCCGAGCACCGGTACAGCGATACGGCTGATGCTGTCTCACAGGTGTTAATATCCAGATAATCCAGAGCAATCTTGCTCAAAAAGGGTATAGAGCCTTATTCCTTCATATTTTCACATTATACCTTCGTCAGCGAGCGGGAAGAAGCCCGGCGTCGTCGGAAAGCAGCTGTACTATCGGAAACAATATGAGCGTGAACGCGCCTCCGCGTGTTGCCGCTACCGAGGCGCCTCCTTGCGGCGTCGTTGTGAAGTTTTGCGCATGCGTGTAGAAATCCTGTCGCTGTTCTCGCTTTGACTGTTAACCCCCGTCTGTCGTCTGCTATGCGCGCGCTGGCGGCCGCTCGCGCTGTCGTCTGCTATGCGACTCGTGTATTTCTGTCACAACTCAGACAAACGACTTAACATGATTCACGAGTTTCCTGTGCGATAACGCAATGCCCACATTTGATACGTGATAAGTAGCTGGCTTCTTTCATTGGGTCGAGATACAGCGACAACAAACAAATGGAATAAAGACAAAATATCTGCAAAGCTTAGCGTTCAACTACGGTGAGCCCGCAAAACATTCAGTGTAGTGAAAAATGGCTAGAGTTCCTGATGACGAACGGATCAACATAGTTGAGCTGTTTCTCCGAGGCTACTCTCAGAGGGCTATATCCAGCATGGCCGGAAGACCGCTGAAAACGGTGAACCGGATAATACAAGCACATAGGGAGGAGCTGTCCAGGGCAAACACAACTCGCGTAGAAAGCGCGTGTGTCCACCGGAGCACGCAATGTTGTGCGGCAGACGACAACACGAGCGGACGCCAGCGCAAACACGAGTCGCATAGGAGACGACAGCCTGAGCGGCCGCCAGCGCGCGCAGGAGTCGCAAAGCAGACGACAGCACGAGCGACCGCCAGCGCGCGCATAGCAGACGACAGACGGGGGTTGACAGTCAAAGCGAGAAGAGCGACAGGATTTCTACACGCATGCGCCAAACTTCACAACGGCGCCGCAGGGAGGCGCCTCAGGTAGCGGCGACACGCGGAGGCGCGTTCACGCTCATATTGTTTCCGATAGTACATCACGGCTACCGCGCACCGAGCAAACTTGTATTCGACAGCTTTAGGGACTTCCATTTTACCGATGACGTCACCGCTCTTGTGAAGTCACGTGACGAGTGGCCACTTTTGCGTACCACATGGCGGCAACCGGGGGGGGGGGGGGGGGTGGCACTTCCGAGCTTCCCGTTTATCACTAAGCCCCTCTACCTCGTTGGTTTTTAACCCCCCCCCCCCCCCCCCCGCGACATCGTGAGATCACGTCGTGAGCTACGTCATTCAGGAACCAGCTGCGCACGCCGTCGGTCGCCCGTGAGAGATGCCTCATCTTGCTTCATGCGCATCATTTCACCTCCTCCTCGAAGGACAGCAAAGGCGTCGGACAGCGGATTTCACAGTTTGAGGTTGGATTCCCGCTGAACCGCTTAGTATATCTAGTGAATATCGCTCATTACGATCAATATAAGGCCTAATTAATTATCGTAGATTTATTACACGCCATGAATATTAGTTAAATTATGACTAAGTATGCCTTGTCCTTTTTTGATTATGCATTGCCTGCTATGGGCTATCAAATACCTTTACTTTTCCAATATTAGCGGCGAAGGCTGTAGACGAGACGAACGGACTCGTTTCTTTTCTCGACTCCTGTCCAACGTTCGCTAGCTAAAGTGGAAAGAGTGTAGGCTCTGCGTCCCGCTCTTCTTAACGTGCAACAACGAATTAAATGAGGAAGAAAATAGGCCTTTAAGGTGTTTCAACGAGGGATCAAATGGTGCGTGCCAAATGTACGGTATAGATGGTGTACCTGATGATTTTACCAAGACTGTTTCCGGTCAACGTTACCACAAAATTTAACCATCAACCATGTCCAGGTAAGTACGCCGACGCTAGCCCCTGCTGTACTGTAAACAAGGGCTTCTCCCGCGGGCACCCACCAGTGCTCGCGTCTCCGTAGGCGCCCATCTCGGTCCAGGACAGCTGCACCATCCACCTCGATCCCCTGAAGAAGGAATCCCGGACAAGGAGGTCCTGGACGACGCCGGGAGCCGTGCCGCTGCGTTCGCCGTAGCCCGACAGTTGGAAGGCTCCCACTAGAGCGTGTCGTTCGAAGGCCCCGCACGGCTCGCTCCGCACCCTGGCGGCGCTCTCGTGGACGCGACGGGAATCCACTGCCAGCTCGGACATTTGGTAGGCGCGCTTGAACGGCACCGAGAGGTTCCCTAGGAGACACGCAGAGGTGGTCAGGTTCTGCATGCTCTAATTATGTCGGATACAATAAGTCACAACGTTTTTTTTGGAGCGGGTTCGTCGTTAAAGGGACAGTGCGACTACATAGGGTTAAAACGTTTCTATCTTAAGACAAGCTTACGGCACTACTGTGACTTAAGAAGAACCGCTCGCAACGCCACTGACTAGGAAGATTCTTTGTCGCTGCGTAATCTCAACAAAAAGAGCGAACTTTTCCCATCAGTTTCTCTTTCGCCAAACTTGATGATATAGTAAGGGGGATCGCGGTGTTATCACAATTACGGGAATTTCCCTATGACGACTATATTAATCAGCTTATAGTTTAGATACGGGTACTGCATAAAGACTCTGTTTGGTTTCGTGAAAATCAACGCCTCGACGAGCATTGGGTAGTGATTCGTGTCCAATGGCTGCTGTGACGGAAACAGACAACGTACCACAATGTCTAGAGCCCAGCAAGTGCAGGTGGCTCGTTTCCAGAATGTCACCGGATTTTTACCGGAAGATTATTTCCAGTACAAATCTATTTTACTGGATTATGGAACTCTTTTCACTTCCAGTATAGCCAAAATTTACCAGAAGATTGCCAGATTTACCGGAATTTACCGTGTTTTTTCTTCCTTTTTTTGGACGTCAACAGAAGGCACTTAGGAGGAAGCCTGTGAACCGTGGTTGGTTATGTTTACTAGATGCTGGACGATTCGGTAACAATTAAAGTGGTTAGTCCATGTAGACCTGAAGGTTCGATTTATTTAACAGGGTCGATACCAGTGAAACAATTTGCACAGCTGTAGACAAAAGCAATCAGACCAAATAGGAACAACCAAGTTCTTTGCCGCAAAAGATATCTTTCAAAGTACTCACAATGCCACTGGGTAAATTCCTTGACGCACGGTATTTCAACTAATAAAACCGCGCAGGTGTACCACACGGACACTCACAGGTCTACTATCAGCAGCACGTTTGGTGAAAACCACGAACGCGCTGAGCGAACATCCGCCGCCGTTGAGAAATCCCGGGCACACTCACGGTGTCGTCCTTAATGCCGTCGCCCCGGGTGCAGCAGGCGTCAGTATCACACTTAGCGAAAACCACGATCGCGCGGCACGAACATCCGCCGCCGTTGAGAAATCTCGGGCACACTCACGATGTCGTCCCAGATGCCGTCGCCGCGGGTGCACCAGGCGTCAATAGGGAATTGTAGTAGACCGTTTCCGCAGCCCGCTAAGCACCCGGATAGCGCTCCGTAATCCGCCACAAGACCTTGAACTATGCAGACAAGGCTGGCGGCGCCCATGCGCAGCTGCGGCGTTTTCTTCGGGGATACCGTAGCGGAAGAGAGAAACGATCTACTACAACTCCCTAGTATCACGCTTAGCGAAAACCACGAACGCGCGGAGCGAACATCCGCCGCCGTTGAGAAATTCCGGGCACACTCACGATGTCGTCCCAGATGCCGTCGCCGCGGGTGCACCAGGCGTCAATAGGGAATTGTAGTAGACCGTTTCCGCAGCCCGCTAAGCACCCGGATAGCGCTCCGTAATCCGCCACAAGACCTTGAACTATGCAGACAAGGCTGGCGGCGCCCATGCGCAGCTGCGGCGTTTTCTTCGGGGATACCGTAGCGGAAGAGAGAAACGATCTACTACAACTCCCTAGTATCACGCTTAGCGAAAACCACGAACGCGCGGAGCGACCATCCGCCGCCGTTGAGAAATCTCGGGCACACTCACGATGTCGTCCCAGATGCCGTCGCCGCGGGTGCACCAGGCGTCAATAGGGAATTGTAGTAGACCGTTTCCGCAGCCCGCTAAGCACCCGGATAGCGCTCCGTAATCCGCCACAAGACCTTGAACTATGCAGACAAGGCTGGTGGCGCCCATGCGCAGCTGCGGCGTTTTCTTCGGGGATACCGTAGCGGAAGAGAGAAACGATCTACTACAACTCCCTAGTATCACGCTTAGCGAAAACCACGAACGCGCGGAGCGAACATCCGCCGCCGTTGAGAAATCCCGGGCACACCCACGGTGTCGTCCCTAATGCCGTTGCCGCGGGTGCAGCAGGCGTCAGTATCACACTTAGCGAAAACCACGAACGCGCGGAACGAACATCCGCCGCCGTTGAGAAATCTCGGGCACACTCACGATGTCGTCCCAGATGCGGTCGCCGCGGGTGCACCAGGCGTCAGTAGCACGCTTAGCGAAAACCACGATCGCGCAAAACGAACATCCGCCGCCGTTGAGAAATCCGAGGCACACTCACGATGTCGTCCCTGATGCCGTCGCCGCGGGTGCACCAGGCGTCAGTAGCACGCTTAGCGAAAACCACGAACGCGCGAAACAAACATCCGCCGCCGTTGAGAAATCCCGGGCACATTCACGATGTCGTCCCTGATGCCGTCGCCGCGGGTGCACCAGGCGTCAGTAGCACGCTTAGCGAAAACCACGATCGCGCAAAACGAACATCCGCCGCCGTTGAGAAATCCCGGGCACATTCACGATGTCGTCCCTGATGCCGTCGCCGCGGGTGCACCAGGCGTCAGTAGCACGCTTAGCGAAAACCACGATCGCCCAAAACGAACATCCGCCGCCGTTGAGAAATCCGAGGCACACTCACGATGTCGTCCCTGATGCCGTCACCGCGGGTGCACCAGGCGTCAGTAGCACGCTTAGCGAAAACCACGATCGCGCAAAACGAACATCCGCCGCCGTTGAGAAATCCGAGGCACACTCACGATGTCGTCCCTGATGCCGTCACCGCGGGTGCACCAGGCGTCAGTAGCACGCTTAGCGAAAACCACGATCGCGCAAAACGAACATCCGCCGCCGTTGAGAAATCCGAGGCATGCACACTCACGATGTCGTCCCTGATGCCGTCGCCGCGGGTGCACCAGGCGTCAGTAGCACGCTTAGCGAAAACCACGATCGCGCAAAACGAACATCCGCCGCCGTTGAGAAATCCGAGGCACACTCACGATGTCGTCCCTGATGCCGTCGCCGCGGGTGCACCAGGCGTCAGTAGCACGCTTAGCGAAAACCACGATCGCGCAAAACGAACATCCGCCGACATTGAGAAATCCGAGGCACACTCACGATGTCGTCCCTGATGCCGTCACCGCGGGTGCACCAGGCGTCAGTAGCACGCTTAGCGAAAACCACGATCGCGCAAAACGAACATCCGCCGCCGTTGAGAAATCCGAGGCACACTCACGATGTCGTCCCTGATGCCGTCGCCGCGGGTGCACCAGGCGTCAGTAGCACGCTTAGCGAAAACCACGATCGCGCAAAACGAACATCCGCCGCCGTTGAGAAATCCGAGGCACACTCACGATGTCGTCCCTGATGCCGTCGCCGCGGGTGCACCAGGCGTCAGTAGCACGCTTAGCGAAAACCACGATCGCGCGAAACAAACATCCGCCGCCGTTGAGAAATCCCGGACACATTCACGATGTCGTCCCTGATGCCGTCGTCGCGGGTGCACCAGGCGTCAGTAGCACGCTTAGCGAAAACCACGATCGCGCAAAACGAACATCCGCCGCCGTTGAGAAATCCGAGGCACACTCACGATGTCGTCCCTGATGCCGTCGCCGCGGGTGCACCAGGCGTCAGTAGCACGCTTAGCGAAAACCACGAACGCGCGAAACAAACATCCGCCGCCGTTGAGAAATCCCGGGCACATTCACGATGTCGTCCCTGATGCCGTCGCCGCGGGTGCACCAGGCGTCAGTAGCACGCTTAGCGAAAACCACGATCGCCCAAAACGAACATCCGCCGCCGTTGAGAAATCCGAGGCACACTCACGATGTCGTCCCTGATGCCGTCACCGCGGGTGCACCAGGCGTCAGTAGCACGCTTAGCGAAAACCACGATCGCGCAAAACGAACATCCGCCGCCGTTGAGAAATCCGAGGCACACTCACGATGTCGTCCCTGATGCCGTCACCGCGGGTGCACCAGGCGTCAGTAGCACGCTTAGCGAAAACCACGATCGCGCAAAACGAACATCCGCCGCCGTTGAGAAATCCGAGGCACACTCACGATGTCGTCCCTGATGCCGTAGCCGCGGGTGCACCAGGCGTCAGTAGCACGCTTAGCGAAAACCACGATCGCGCAAAACGAACATCCGCCGCCGTTGAGAAATCCGAGGCACACTCACGATGTCGTCCCTGATGCCGTCACCACGGGTGCACCAGGCGTCAGTAGCACGCTTAGCGAAAACCACGATCGCGCAAAACGAACATCCGCCGACGTTGAGAAATCCGAGGCACACTCACGATGTCGTCCCTGATGCCGTCGCCGCGGGTGCACCAGGCGTCAGTAGCACGCTTAGCGAAAACCACGATCGCGCGAAACAAACATCCGCCGCCGTTGAGAAATCCCGGGCACATTCACGATGTCGTCCCTGATGCCGTCGCCGCGGGTGCACCAGGCGTCAGTAGCACGCTTAGCGAAAACCACGATCGCGCAAAACGAACATCCGCCGCCGTTGAGAAATCCGAGGCACACTCACGATGTCGTCCCTGATGCCGTCGCCGCGGGTGCACCAGGCGTCAGTAGCACGCTTAGCGAAAACCACGATCGCCCAAAACGAACATCCGCCGCCGTTGAGAAATCCGAGGCACATTCACGATGTCGTCCCTGATGCCGTCGCCGCGGGTGCACCAGGCGTCAGTAGCACGCTTAGCGAAAACCACGATCGCCCAAAACGAACATCCGCCGCCGTTGAGAAATCCGAGGCACACTGACGATGTCGTCCCTGATGCCGTCACCGCGGGTGCACCAGGCGTCAGTAGCACGCTTAGCGAAAACCACGAACGCCCAAAACGAACATCCGCCGCCGTTGAGAAATCCGAGGCACACTCACGATGTCGTCCCTGATGCCGTCACCGCGGGTGCACCAGGCGTCAGTAGCACGCTTAGCGAAAACCACGATCGCCCAAAACGAACATCCGCCGCCGTTGAGAAATCCGAGGCACACTCACGATGTCGTCCCTGATGCCGTCACCGC